CCACTCACCAGGTTTGACAATATTGAGCTGACAAGCGCAATGTTCAGACGAGGCGTTTATGATCACGTCTGCCGAAATTTGCAACCCTACACGCCAGGAAAATGGGCCAAATTTCAAAATGAACGCTCCTCCCTTTCCTTCTGCCGGCGCGTGCCCAGAGAATGAGGGCATGACGTGTGCGTATGAATGACCCTACGTACACGGCGATGCATTGACATTGGTCCTCTACGTAGACGACTCTTCTCTGACGTTGCAAACAGTGACACGTGACAAGGCGCAAATATTTAGCATGGCATGCGTATTTGAGGTAATTTATTGCTTGAAGAGATCAGTAAAGCTCTAGATAAGTGAGGAGACACAATAGGGTAATGTGAGCGTCTTTTTTCCATTTTTATCCCATGAATTGCAACGAGATGCGGGGCTAATGTGTCGGCGTTTCGCAAGCGTTCGTCACGGTACCTACGGTCAGCGCATCGAGCAGACGACCGCCGTGGAACGCTCCTACGAGATCGCGCACTCATTGTGCCCATCAATGGTACCGCGTCTAAGCCAGCGTTTCCAATCTATCCAGCATAAACGGGCAGAAGACCACAAAATAACGCTGTCAACACAGCAACGCCGCTCGCGTTCTCGGGGGTTGGACTTGTTTGGGCGCGTCATGCTCTAGTGACCTCTTGGTCGGATGCCTGAGAGGGTGGGGAAGAGATTTATTCAGCTTGCAAAGGCTACGCGGAAGAGTGGCAAGGGAGGAGGAAGAGAAAAACTTTATTCATCTCAAGAGGGAATGGATAGACCTAAAGCGATGGCAGCCTCCTCTGCCTCCTCCGAAGAGTTGACAGTGACGGGATGCCGCTGTGAGCGCCTTGCCGCTATAGTCGACAGCAGAGAGGGCATAGGATGAGGAGGATGGGTATTCTGCCGCATCAACAAAGAGCATGTCATTGGCTTCATGCATTTTCTTCTGAAGAGCTTTTGCTCTTTTGATCCTATGCTTAGTGTGATATGTTGGGTGCATGTTTTTAGGAAGGGGCGGTATGACTAATTGTTTGTGTATGTTTTGGGGAAGTTGTATTTAGCATTGGTGAGTGAGGTGAAGTGAGCGGCAAGGGTGTCGAGCTCGCGTCCTCTCATCCTGGTTTCGCGCCGCTTCAAAAAACCCGTTTTCTCTGCTCGTGATGAACCGACTCAAAACATTTTTGCGGCAGAATGTTCCTCATTGGACACCCAACAACTTCCACTGTCTAACTAAAACTTGTTATGAGGCCTGGTGAGTGGCCCTTTAAGGTCATAAAATTGCAATGCATGTCCACAAAACGGTGTCACGGCATATCCACGGAGTGTATTATGACAAGTGGGCGAAGCGTCCGCCCATCGGTGTGTGTGTCCGCGCGTTCGGGTAGACGCTTCGCCCAACTCATAATCATTCACTTCTTAGATATGCTGTAATTTGGGGGGGGGGGGGTAGAGGGGCGTTTGGACTACGCTTTTTGTATCTTCGTTATATATACGTGTATTATACGGAAACAATGAGACATTTGGGGTGGGGGTTAAGCAGTACACAAGCTGCGCGCGTTGGTACTGCCTGATGTTGTAAAAACTGAAGCCACGCGCGGCTTTTAGACGCCTTCGTCATTCAAAGCCATGGAGAAATACGATGAAAGTGCTTCATACTTTTATGGGGCAATGGCTGGGAGCTAGACAAAAAGTACTACGGCGAAAAAACGTATCAGGTGGCTAGTAATCGTACCAACGATATATCAATGTCTTATTTGTCAGATATGACTTCGCAATTGATTGGCTGATATGTGGAGTTTAACGTCCCAAAACCACCATATGATTATGAGAGACGTCGTAGTGAAGGGCGTCTGAAATTTTGAGAACCTGGGGTTCATTAACGTGAACCAAAATCTGAGCACACGGGCTGCGGCATTTTCGCCTCCATCGAAAATGCAACCTCCGCAGCAGGGATTCGATTGCGCGACCTGCGGAATAGGGATGGACCTTTCTGTCTACGCCAGTCATGTGGTCACTAAATAGGGTGATTGTGATGAATCTGGAACTTGATGGAACGGAATTCTCCATAAAAATTATCTAGAGGACGCCCCACCTACGTCGAATACCCCGAAATGCCTGCTCCGGACGACAACTACAGTGATAACGAGAGGCGGATAACTCGAAACACGAGCTGTTTTATGTATTGAATATCGGTCGCTTCTTATCGCGGTAATGTGCCTGCTATCGCGGTTGCCTGTTATCGTGGTTTGTGATCTCTGCATGATGGGCAGTGCACAGTACACGAAGAATAACACATCGCTAAAAACGGGACGAGTGAAAGTCACATACTTGGTAAGCGTCTTCTTCTCGTTTCATCTTCAACGCTGCTTTAATCTTCGTGTACCGTCAAACACGTTGCACTTATATCGCTACACCTAACTTTGAGGGGCACACGGGAGGACGCTGACTGCAGCCAATAAGCTTAAACATACTTTATCTTAATATAGCAGTTCTATTTCTGTAAAGATAAGTATATCAAAAGGCCAAACTCTAGTCCTCATTTGTACAAGAAATGTGTTTTTGGATAATTGAATATACGAACAGCGTTACAGACAAGGACAGAGGAAGGTAACAGCATGCAGCGCTGACTTTCAACAACTCAGCACTGTGTTGAAAGTCAACACAGCGCTGACTTGTATTGTCTGGTGTGCTATCCGTATATGCCCTACTGACTTGCCCAAGTTTTCACACTTCGTGTTCTTTGCCTTAATAAGTTTCCGTGCATTAGATGGCCCCATGCGCTGACACCTCAGCATGTCCCGCAGTAACGCAAAACGTACTGTGCTTTATATATGGTTATCGACGTAAGCTTTCGAATGTCTATCAGAAATTACTTCCATGCCTTCTGCCGGTGCTTGGGAGGGAGTGACTCATACTTGCGAATACTATGTATGCTACGATGGCAGATAACCTCTTCTTTGTCAGAGTGTACATGTCCGTTATTATCTTGGCCCACAAGTTCAAATAAAGTAATCAATTATCTAGTAGCATACAAATGCGAGCGGCTGAAGTAATATTGACCTATATGTCCAGCGTTATTGCTGTCTAAACGACTCTGCTATATCACAGCATGCTGATACTCGTGAGTAATATTTGTGCGATAACGCTCACCCCATGAAATGCTGACATTTGCCTTTGTTCTCGTGGGGCTTTGTGTGCGCTTACATAAGTAACTGTATGCTCGGTCACCAGAAATTTGGTGAAGAGGGGATGCTCCGGCCCTTTTGCATGTAAGATCGTGGATTTGAGTCTACTTGTGTGTGCGTGTATACGCTTTAAGAGGAACTAGGAGAGAAGATGTCCCGGCGCCTCATCCCCACCCCCCTTCCGCAATTATCTCACTGGATAAGCTCTAGATTTCCAGGATTTGACAACTTGTCACGTAAATAAATCAGAATGAATAATTAATTGCCCTGAGCAGCACAGTTGTCGAAACGACTTCTCTTATCAGTAAAATACCAAATTGTCAGTGGGGTGTCGGATGAACCGATATATCGAGCTTATCCTTTTGTCAACAAATAAGCAACAATCAAGAGAGGGCACCTAATATGGTAACAAGCATTCAGAGATGGCATCGTTCGTTATCATTGGTCACTGCATGGTCATCGACGTTGCTGACTGCAGCGAAAACGCGGGCATTGTCCTTGACAGAGAGCGATGCTCGAATTTGGCAATAAAAAAAGAAAAAAAAAAGAAACGGCTGCATCTGGATTGTTGAGTGATAAGCGTTATAATCTATGTCCCCGTGAACACGATAGTAATTAGTTCGATAAAACATTTGCACGCTGCTTCCGGCAATTGTAATGCCAGATAGCGCCATCCATGGACGGCCCTGCCTCCCCCCCACTATCCCCCGCATAGGGCGTGCGCCGCAGTGGAATTAGTTGCATTGCGGACGAATTTCCGATGATGTCGTACGCAGTGGCATCTTCTCGCATCGCATGGCCTCGGGTCTACCTGTTAGGTGACACCCTGACGCAGGTGAGAAAGCGCGGAACCGTTTTCTCGAATCACGAGTTATACGCTCTCAAACTTCCCTTTTGTATAGAGAAATGAAAGTTGGTCGAGTTGGGGGTACTTCGCATTAGGTACCATAAAGTGAAGAAATAAGCGCTGGATTTCAACTCTTCTATAGAGAGTAGAGAGAGAGAGCGAAGGGAGGAAAATGTTTAGTGGGCGAGCGAGTTCGGGCCCTGTTGTGAATTCTGGGCCACCACACGATCTTCCATTCGGGGTGCGCCCGTACCACGCAGGGCCAGGGCACTGGCACTCCAGTGCACAGAATGCAGTAGAGAGTGAAATACTGAGTAAAGTACTGACGGGCTAGTCTCGCTAAGGTATGATGCCACAGTCAGGGGCGAAGCCAGGGGATGCCATATTTTATTTGCAACAGGTTCGAAGTTAATAAAAGAAACAACATAAAAGAGCATGAATAATTTTTTTTTTGTTGAGTCTTGAGTGGAAAACTTGGCATTTTATGAGTTTATGCTTCGACGTTTCAAGACAATTTGCGAAAATGGGGCAAGCTAAAGAAAAATATAAAAAAGCTCTTCTCAAATCACATGATGCCAGAGGAAGCCTCGTTCATACTAAATGTAACTTTTTTTAAATGTAATTATGCGTTCGCTTTATAACTACACAAAGCGGTTTCAAGTTTGATAATAATGTAATTGTCAATATCGTATCCGCTTCTTAAATTTTGCACTTTGTAGAGGATTCGGTCTGTCAAACTGATTTAAAAAAGATAATCATTTCTTGCTTCTCTCTTTATTTGGCTAATCAAAAAGCCAAGTTTTTTTGCGTTATAATAAATAAATAAATAAATAAATAAATAAATAAATAAATAAACGCCATACACTACAAGAATAAACGTTCATCCGGAGACTGCTTGTATTGAAAGCGATCGTTCGGAAGTGGGATGCTTACCGGGTGTTTTATGTTTTCAGTCATCTTTCATCTTCGGTGGTTGGGGATCTGTCATCGCGGAGTGCTTTTCGAGGTGAGGTCGCGCTTTATTTCGATTTCAAGAGATTATATATATATATTTATATACTATATATATATTATATATATATATATATATATATATATATATATATATATATATATATATATATATATATAAGGGAAAGGAAGTGTATACATGAGGGCTTCGTTTTTCCGTGTTTTGATGCAATAATAATGAGATCTAACAGACAGTAATGCCAAGGAATGTAAAGGGGAAGTTATTAAAACCAATGGAATGTAAATAAGGAGAAAGAAAAGTGGATGATAAAATAACCAGCCGTGAGCAGGAATCGAACCTACGACCACCGAATAACGCGTTCGATGCTCTAACCACTGAGCTACCACAGCGGCCTTCCTTCCATCTACTTTTTTGGGTTTATATGTGAATTTAGAAGTAGGAGTGTCAGTCAGCGCCATCTATAAGCCAAGCGACGAGTGTGAACCACTCTTTTATGCGCATGTTTGGTGTCACGTAGGCTTGTTTGGTGCATGTTTGGCGTCACGTTTGGCTTGCGCTTCAGGTCCACTTCCCACCTTTAAGCACCTCGAGTTCATGGTATATACTAGTTCACAGTATTCATGGCACTGCGGCCGAACGCTCGCTAAGCCTTTCGAAAACCAAGGAGGTTACGCCCGGCGTGTATGACGTAGCAAACTTTTTCAGTCAGATAGTGCTCAATGTACATGCCCATGGCTGCTAATGGGAAATGAGAGGCGGAGAATTCGACTTTTACTTTCTTACGGCTTGCGCTTCGTATCTTCTTCCCATTTTTAACCACCTCGAGTTCATTCATGGTATATACAAGTTCATTGTATTCATGGCACTGCGGCTCAACGCTCGCTAAACCTTTCTAAAGCTAAGGAGGTTACACCCAGCGAGTATAACGTAGCAACCCTTTTTTGTCAGATAGTGCTCAATGTACATGCTAATGGCTGCTAATGGTGATCGCAGCCTGTGCGTTAACTAAAAGCCGAATGCTCCTAGCTGTCTCTTATTCCCCATTAGCAGCCATTGACATGTACATTGAGCACTATTTTTTTATTGTTCAACAACGCACAGAAGAAGTCTCTCACCGGGATTACCTTGGTGGTCAAAATGTTATACTTGTTACATGCTATGGGGGACGAACGGGTGCCGCTATAAAAAGTTTCGCCCCTAAAAGCTACGGCCGTGGAGTAAACTGCAGTCACGTTAAGTGCTTGCGGCACAGAATCAAGCACGGTATTTCTAGCTCAGAAGTCACGGTTTCCTCGAAAAGTTGGCCTGAAGGACAAGTTGTGACTGCATGCTCTCAAACGATGTTGGTGCGTCATACTTGGACAGTGCTATAGTCATGGCATTGTAGTTTCGTCCCAGAATATTTTTCTGTTGAGTGTTATTGACATTTGTGAAAATAATTTTTTTCTAAGCAGAATATCCTTCTCTTTCACTATTTACACCTCTATGCTTTCCAAGCTTTGTTTACTTCTCTCTATGTCTTCTATCTTCTAGCGCAAATAATTAGCCGAAGCGTCCAGGTGGCCACATGCGCTACATGCGAAACGTTTGGAGGATCCTCACGTTTTTGCCCCGCCGCGGTGGTCTAGTACTCGGCTGCTGACCCGCAGGTCGCGGGTTCGATTCCCGGCTGCGGCGGCTGCATTTCCGATGGAGGCGGAAATGTTGGAGGCCCGTGTACTCAGATTTGGGTGCACGTTAAAGAACCCCAGGTGGTCAAAATTTCCGGAGCCCTCCACGACGGCGTCTCTCATAATCAAATGGTGGTTTTGGGACGTTAAACCCCACAAATCAATCATCCTCACGTTTTGCTTGTTGTCAGGATGGACTGCGCTATCTGGGTAACAATCGCGATGATGCGTGTCGACGTATTGATAAGGACCCGGTCAGACTAAAGGTATTCAAATAACACATCTAAATGCTTGCGCAACAACTGACGCGATTGATGCGCGAAACTCGACACCAAGTCGGATGATTCATGTTGGCTAGACAAGAGATAGAACACAGTGGGCCAATTCATTTTCCATGCAAGCAATTAATCAATTGTAGAGTTTTTTAGAACCAATGATCAATGTCGATCGAACGATCAATCGATGAATAAATGACGATGGTAGGCCACTTGCTCCTTTTTCCATATCATATAACAAGCGACTGGCTGCATTAAGTAATGGAAAGCCAAATGTCGTCGCTCTGCAGTGTCTGATAGCTCGTGTGTCTCATGACTCGCACTCAATACTGAACTGAGAACAAAACATTAATTTCACCTTTTGATTTCGCAATCGGCTTTTTTATGGGTGTTATGTCGACTGTATTAGGACAACTAACCCGTCAATTCTACAGAACTACCATGATGCGTCGCGTCATAGAAATTAACGAGCTGCTTTAGTTCCCATCGGGAAACCATGACAAGATGTTCAAATCGCACTTGCCATGAGCAATATCATGCAGAGATTTTTTTCGGCTACGCTTGCTTTTCGAGGACGTCGGCATTTATGATCCCTTAATAGCCTCAAGTCTGCATATGAATGGTCTTGATTTAGTTGAAACATCCGCGACACCGTTCTGATGTTCACTCTTGACGTATAGATCAGCGCGCACCCTTCAGTTTACAGCCGTATATGCTATGCTTCGTGCAGGCGCTGCGATGTGCTGTGCCGCGGCCTGCGCGGCTACAACACGCGGGCGTGGAGGCAAGCATTGCCCCTCGTGTTGGGCCCCGAGGACGCTCGCAGCGTGGCCGCGCTTGTCCTGATGATGGGCACCAGCGACAGCGCCGACCCACGTGATCCCGAGGCAACGCACGTGCCGCTAGACGAGTACGCCGACAACGTGGCCTACATGCTGGGCTACGTCAAGGTAGAGACCGTTTTACTGACGGGTTTCGGTGCCGCCATACATGGGCTGTATAGCCTCGCTGTTTCGTATCTTTAGCAACTCAACGAAACGGCGGGTGCACACGCTTGAAAATGGTTGGGTTGGCACATTCGACGCTTCATATCAATTCACGTCGCAATAAGGAAAAAGCAGAGAGAGAGAGAGAGACAATAATGGCGGCTCATACGTCTCTTGCGTAAAATCGTCGGGCGTGGTGTACCGGTGCTGGGATCGCTGTGGTTGATTACAGCACTGGTCACTATAGGTACTATGACGTCACGCTGACAAACATATGAGACCCTAGTTTAGATTACTCACCCGTAATTTTCTCAGTCCTGCCGCAATGACCCCTTGTCAGTAAAGGGCAGAATAGAGAATCACTCGTTCAATAAGTTTCAATGAGTGCCGGCTAAAATTCAAAGACCCTACGTAGCCGAACTAGGTGCACTGCCCTTCGCTGTAGCGTGCCCCGTAAGTCAATGCTCTTTGGTACTTGAAAAACTGATTGATATGTGGGGTTAACGTCCCAAAACCACCATGATTATGAAAGACGCCGTAAAGGATGACTCTGGAAATTTCGACTATCTGGGGGTCTTTAACGAACGTCCAAATCTGAGCACATGGGCCTACAACATTTCCGCCTCCATAGAAAATGAAGCCGCCGCAGCCGGGATTCGATGCCGCGACCTGTGGGCCAGCAGCCGAGTACCTAGATAGCTACTAGACCACGGCGGCGGGGCTGGTCCTTAAAAAACTACCATGATCCTAGCTTACATGCATGCATTCGCCTAAGACGACTCGATGGCAAAGTTATCCAGCGTACGCAATATATCACCATCATTTCGCAAAGCAGGATGTATACCCACTACGTACATATAAGGCAATGGACGGGCACCTACGTCGCTGCACACTGTCTTGCTGATGATGATGAACGATTGCTCAGCCCTTTGTAATGAGTGGGAAGCCCTCGCTCGTCATGCAATTCACACGGTGTGAAGTCTAGCACAGTTCCACGCAATGTCAAGTCTTTGAACGGGTTCCTGCAGCACTTTTTGAGAATGATAAGAAAACACTGTCTATCAGTAGTCTATATAGTCTCCTGTGAACGTGTGAGCTAAACATCGAAACGCAGCCTGCGGCCTGAAAATTTCCAACAATTCTAACTAGAGGTCGCTCTCTCTTCCGTCGAAAAACGAGGCCATAAATCCAAATGATCGCGCCGTAAACCCAACCTCAGCGGCCATTAGCTGTCTTGAGCATTGTGAGATGCGTAGTTACGGCGGCCGCCGCGGAATGGCGCCACGTGCCCACGAGCTTGAGCCGCGTTATGGAAAAATGAATAATGAAGGAGATAGTCAATCCAAGTAGGCGGCTTTAATGGCTGATGCTATAGGCCGCTTGGCTAAGGCTAAGTTTTAAGCTTGTTTTAAGCAAAGCTATCCTTCAACATTTTATGGCCCTTGGATCTAACATATGTTGCACTGTTATCAAGTCTTGCGCGGACGAGTGCAAGTTTCATCATTTCTTTAAAAACTATGTGGTTATAATTGGTAATGCCGGTAGCTTCAACGCGGCTTCTCCGCATCTGTTGCAGTGGCGTATGCGCGGCTTGGCATGACATCACATCAGCTCTCACGGTAGCTAGGCTCTGGGGTACCATTGCCGAGAGCGACTTGACGGTGGCTTATCTGTTGCTGCAGCTCTGGTACATGCGCGGCTTGGTATGAGAGCCCACGAGCTGGCATGGTGTCGAGGCTAGGTAGTTAGGCAAGGCGAGGTCAGGTGGTGCGCAGCTGTGGCGCCGGTGGTTGCTTGGCAGCGGCGCGGGGAGGTTTTTTTGCAAGGAACAGCTGTTTTTATGCCTTGCCAAGGAAGTTTAAAAATGTTCAAACCTCCTTGTGCTTAATAACGGGAAGAAAAAAAAAGGGAGCTCCAGGACATCCCGCGCACGTGGCGCAACTTATTTTCTCCGTGTCATCCCACCCTGTATAGCTTCCTACGCGCTCGTTGGGATGAGAGAAGAGACAAGGCGCTTACAGCGCGTGACGACTACCTGTAACTTCGCTCGTGTAATCGAAACATTGAAAAAAAGATTGCGGAAGTTGATTCGTGAGGCTGTAAAGTTTTTTAAATGAAGCTATTCGATAATTACTAGGAAAACTGTTCCAGGGCCTTTTTAATGTTACCCCTTCGAGCGTAGTCATGACACTTGTATAGTGTCTTTTGCAGGATAAGTTTTAAGAGCTACGGTGGTTCTGCGGAGGAACGTTTTCTTATTCAAACACTGTTTCTTATTGTGAATGAGGTCACGTATGTTTTTGTACCACATGCTTTGCTTTAAGTCTGACGAGACATTGGAAAGGCCCCTAAACCAACAGGGCATCGAAATTTGGTTGTGGTGTTGTAGTTCGCGCGTCTTCAACAAACCACAGCGACATTTTTTTTTCCGAAACCGTGCCGTAATAGCGGCGTTACACGCGTTTAATGACCCAAAAGAGGCCCTTGCCCGTTTCGCTCGTTTCGCTCTTTCCTTCCCTATGCGCCATCCATCAGTTCCTCTCTCTCTCTCCTCCTAGCTGGGTGCTCCTCCTCACCGCGCAAAGAGCATAAAGCGGCGAAGATGCATAGCTGCTATAAAATAGGCTTGTCCTTCCAAGGTGTTCCTTGGCTATCACGGGGAGTGAGGCGCGTATGTCAAATGAGAGAATTCTATTTTTTCATGCAGAGAACCCACCGAGGCTTTGAGATGCCAAAAAAAAAAAAGTTGGTCTCTAGTAGTTATTCTGGCTCAACGAAATTCAACTAAGTTCAGCAGGGATTACGAAACCGAACCACCAGTTGAGCGCAACAAGGAGACGACCATAAGGACGTCACTATTGAAGACAACGATTGCAGAGGTGCAGTTATTTTGCCTACGTTGAAGTATGTGTGCCATGCGTGTTGCGGTTGCATGCGCAGTCGAAACACCCACATGATGAAGTTGCTTTATTTGTGATTTGACGATCACTCACTGCAGATGTTTCTGAAGAATCTGGCGATTAAGCTCTTCTACGTTTCTGTTTTGGTTTCACCGGTGAATTCGGCTGGAATTTATTCCTTCGGCATTATTACTAGAGGCCGCTTTGTCGAAATTTCAAAGCTGTAATTGGTTCTTCGCAGGAAAGACTTCAATACTTCTATTTGGCATAACCACCTCACTCCACTAAGTAAAAAAAAGTTAAATCTTTAGCTTGCTTTATTACTGTTTCTAGTCATACTAGATGCCTGTGGTTACCGGAGAGGTAATTGGGGAGAATCGAAGAAGTATCGCATTTTTTCAAATTTTCATACCACTGTCACACGCGTACACAGACTTTTGTACGTAAGCGGTCTTTTACAAATTTGAGATTTTTAATTAAAAAGCATTGCCTCGTAAACACTCAGTACGTAGCAGACCGGCTTTGTAGGGTTTTCTTCCTAACGCACAACCGAAATCACAGCGTTAGCTTTCAAAACAAAACCAGTGAAAATGAAATGGTTTATCTCCTTGATGTATAAAATACGAATGTCCCTCTCCGACGACTGTAGGCGGTGGTGTTATTGTGCGTCCAGGGTCTTAACAGTCAACTTTCGCTGTTGGCTAATACACCATGGTTTTCGGGTGCCAGACTCGAACAGTTGTAGATGTTGGCATTGACCTTGATTTTTGTCAACGCCACCTCAAGTGTGAGGCCTACAGAACGGTTTTATGCTCTTGCACAGTAGAGTACCAAGTACTCTAAGTATTTAGCCACTTATTCCATAGAGAAACATACTATATAAAGAGTGGCGACTCGAGCCTCTTCGCGGCCCACCAAGATACGCTCTGACCAACCGCTAGAGGGCGCGCCCATGCTCGTTCCACTTCAGTTCAGGCTGTCAAGGTGGATGGACGTGTTTTTTGAGCGCTCCGGATCGACTGCGCAGATAAGTGTTGTTGCATGTTTTGAGCTTGTCTCTCTAATTATAAGGCAGCGGTTGAAATCTTCGTAGCACTTATTTTATGGTACGGCTTTTTCGGGACTAGTCACCAGGTATTTATTAGTTAGTGCGGGTGTGTGTGTTTGAATTTTTTTGTTGTTTTTTTTCTTTTGCTACCCCGTTGGGGAGGTGCGCGTACATTGAACACGCAAATTTTTGTAGTAGAGCTTGGACTTTTTTTTTCGTAGTGCAGGGCTCGAGTTTAGTAATTATCGAGTATAGGGACAATTGGTGTCAGAAAGGCATGGTTAAAAAGACTGTAAAGTGTTCAGGATGTGGAGTGGGTTTGAAAGTGGACCCAAGCGTAGATGCGGATGGAGAAGAGGCTGACGCGAAGTGTAGGCAATGTGAGGTCGAGGAAAAAATGGAGAAAATGATGGTTGCCCAGAGTGAACTGCTGATGAGAATCGCCAAACTCGAGACTGCGTTGGCGACAGAGCAAGAAAAAACGAGGGTAATGGGAGAAAGACTGAAGTCCGCCGAGGAAGGGCTAGCGAAGCTGAACAAAGAAGCGACCTACCGAGAGAACAGTAGGGAACCGGCAACCAGAACGGTGGAGAAGGAAAAGCAAGCAAGCTTGGAAAAAACAGGTTTAGCCGGTTCAACTGTCGCAAGGCCCAGCTTCAGCGAGGTAGTGGTGGGGCAGGAAGGGAACAAAAGAGCCGGCGTCACAGGTGCAAGTAGCCCCCAGGTGCAGAACGCTCCAGCGGAAAAGTCACAGCATGTGATAATCGCCGGGGACTCAAACTTAAATCGATGCGCAGAAGCCATCAAAGAGAGGGTAAGAGGTGACAAGAGGGTTGCAGTAGGGGCGTTCCCAGGACGCAAGCTGGAAGCAGTCATGAAGCAAGCGAGCGCAAAGCTCAAAACGACAGCTGATAGACGCAACCTCGTAATAATTTCAGGCGGTTTAAACGATGTCCTAAATGAAGATGCAGCAGGACTAGCAGCCACACTGGCGAAAGGCGTCGATGACATGCGCG